TGGCCCGGGGCGCCGGTGCGCCGCCTTCGGGGGCCGCCGCCCGTCCGAGCGCGCAGGTCCGGTGTGCCGGGAGGGCGCCCGCGGGCCCTCCGCGCCGGAAGGCGCCAGGGCAGCGTTGGGGGGGGGGGCACTGCGGTGCAGTCGAAACACTGCCATAAGGAACCCCAAGTAAGGAGCGAAGCCCCTCTTCGCCACGAGTCAAACTCCGATTTCCCATCGAAGACCCAAGGGACACTTCAGACAGGCTGTAAAACGGTTCAGGAGCACTGAGCCCTTCCCCAACGGAAGTGGTTCCTTCTCCACGGGCCCGACTGTAGAGGGAAGCAACTGCTGAACACTCCTCGATCCCATCTGGGAGGCCGAGATGGACAGGGGCAGATTCGGACAGGTCGGCGACTCCGAAGGGCGTGGTTCGCAAAGGATGTGGCCTGCAGTCGGCACCCCGTGGGGCACCCTGGAGCGTGGGCGGGCACCTCGATGGAGTTCTCCGCCGCGCCCCGAGGAGGCCCGGCGAGGACAGCGTCGTGCCCCCCAGGCCCCAAAGGCGCCGATCGCAAACCACGCCCGGCCTTAACCACACCCCCTGTGGTCGCCGAACAGGGATCCACCTGGGATCTCTGAGATCCCCAGCGGTTCTGGTGCAGGCGCCGGGCGCCGCGGCCCGCCCAGAGCGCTCCGCAACGCTCCGGGAGCGTTCCGGAACGCTCCGGAACGGCCTTGGTCCCTATCCTGCGGCAGAGGGAAACAATTACTGAACACTTTCCCCCTCCCCCCCAAACTCAGAGTTGGCACGCGCGGGGGAGACTGCGGCCGAGGTCCAACTCATCAGACCCACCGCCAACTTGGAACATTGGGGGGAGGGGGAGGCGTTGACAGGTGAATGTGGCATGAGTGTTCCCTATTTTTTCCGAGGCCTCTGGCTCAGGGGGGAGGATCATCGGCCTGGAATCGGCGATGCATCGTCGACAAATCGGCGTTGGGCCTCCGATGGCGACTCCGCACGGTCCTGGGCGGTGTGGGGCTATCGGGCCCATATCGGCGATCCATGGGCGGTCGATGCATCCCCCCTTAAGCCTATCTCGCCCTGCCCCTGAAACGGCCCCCTCCATGGGTCCCTATAGCATCTGCCTCGCATCATAGACCTCTTCCAGGGAGAAGGGGGAGACAAACTCACCCGTGGCTCGAGACCGTTAACACGCGCTGGGCCGCTTCCAGGGGACAACTACCTTTTGCCGCCTCCCTGTGCTCCACGGCGTTGCGACTACGACGCGCTACCGTTCAGGCGAGCTGCCTCAGACGACCTGCTCGTGCACAGCTTCCGCCTCTAAGCCAACAGCAATGGCTCCCGTGAGCTCGTCAGGCCTGTGGCAGTTGTATCACTTGGGCGGAGGAAGGCTCGGGGTCAGAGGAAGACTGGGTATTGGCCACAGTTCGGGGATTCAACCTGCAACGCCTCTTCCAGGCATAGAAGGCAAATCCAAATAATAGCAACACCGCAAACGCAGCCACAGCAAACCGTAGCCAGAACCAGAAATGAATCTTCCCTCTTTTGCACGCCGCCTGCATTGCTTTGACACTAAGTCCGTCACCGTGTCTTCGACACGTTGGGGCGTGTTAGAATGCCAGCTTGCTGTCTTTTGTTTAACCATAGCCTTCCAGGGGAGGCGGGAAGAGAACACATGCATTACGATATTGTTTGGTATGGTGCCCTTTAATTAGAGACGGGTTTTAAAATGTCTGTGGGCCCCAACGTGGTCTCACAATATCCGAACAAGCCTCCGAGACGGCCCACAAAATGTCCAAGACTGACCAACACCGCCCCAAGGGACCTCCAACACAACCTCAAGACTAACACACACACACACCGCCACAAGACGTCTACACTGAGCGTTCTCGGGGGAGCTCGGTGGAAACATGCTGCCCAAGACGGTATCAAGACGCCCCAAGGGCCCACACCAGATTGCACACAAGCACGGGTCCCAGGCGCCTTGAAGAGGGAGGAGGAAGATGGAGGAGGAGAAGGAAAAGGAGATGGAGTGCTCAAAAACACTCAGGACAGACAAGCCGCCGAACTAGATCCAGTTTTCAGCTCATACTTCTCCTCCTCCGCTCCCTTCTCCTCGAACCTGCTGCTCGGCAGCGCTGTCACGGTGGCGAGGTCTGCCGCAGGCAGCTTCATATCCTCCCACCTGCTTTTTTCAAAGCAGAAGCAAGGTATCCTCCAGCCTTGGAAGCATTCATCACTGCATCGTATTCACGCTCTGTTGTCAGAGGCAAAATCTGCGGCCTTGCATCGGCAATCCGTGGCAATTCACAATTGCAGAACACTGATTCTGGACTGATGTAACCTCGCTCTGACACGTTGCAATCCACAAGCGACAAGATGACAACGGCAACGCCAACGTCAGCGGCATACATCGCAAACGCTGAAGACACATTACACCAACTCATACTATTACAAACCTTACCCGCTTTGTTCATATCCTTGCCAAGTCTGGTGTCTGGCAGCGTTGCTGTCCCCAGAGCAGCGGCCAATCTTGCTGCCAGCTGGTACTGATCCTCGCTGTTCTGACAAGACTGCGACTTCGTAAAGCCGGAGTACAGGACAACGGCTCCGCGACGAAAGCCGCCCGCCTCTGGAAAATCAGCCTGCTGCTGCGCCAGCCTGGCAACACTGGACGAACTGAACAAACCAGGGATCTCTGCCTCCAGAGGGCACGAATCCTTACCCGCCCCTTCCAGTGGAACTGAGTCCGCCGCCCTGCTCCCTAACACTTTGAGCCGCGGCAGAATGCTAGGGGCCCTCTGGCCGAGTCTCCGTCAGCGTCGTGACGACTCCCTTGGTGGGCCCCGGGAGCGGCAGGGCCGTTTTTGCCACCAGTTCCGAGAACGTGTCTCTTGAACATGGAGGCGGCGAAAAAACTCCGTCCGGAAACGGCAGACAAACGGCTCCAAGATTGAGGCCGGGACTGGAATCGGCAAAGCAAAACGTCGACGGAACCGGCAACAAAAACGGCGTCGGAACCGGCAACCGAAGGCAAAACGGAACCGGTAACCTCATGCCCGTGAGAATAAACACTAGGGGATAATAAAGTTCGGGGTTCAGGGAGAGATAATAAAAGTAGCCCAGCAGACCTCAGCATAATCTCGAAGTAAAAGATGATCAAGAGGAGACCAAGCCGAGCACGTTTTGAGACATCCGTGGCGTTTAGTTTTCATAGAAATATCATTCACAATGGCTTATCTCGCTGGAATGGAGGAAGCTATATATAAAAAAGAAAAATAAAAATAATAAATTATAAAATAAAAGAAATGATGGGAGGAGGAGAAGGACGAAGAGAAGAAAAAAACTCGAGTTTCAAATATATGAGATTTTACAAACGCTTTATGAAACTTGTTTTTTGTAAGTGCTCGTGTAGGGTAGCTCATGTGCCTCAATTTCCATGGATAATCAACCCCAGAGATAAAAAAGTTCAGGCGAGCGTGGGGACAGAGAGAAATATAAAAGAAGAAGAATACAGTAGAAGAATAATAAGAAAGAAGAATAAGAGGATAATAAGAAGAGGACGAAGACAGGAAAAATCCAAAGTTCCAAATCTATCAATTTTAATTTACAAACGCTTTATGAAAATTGATGTTTTTAAGTGCTCGTGTAGGGTAGCTCATCTGCTTCATTTTCCATGGATAATCAACCCCAGGGATAAACAAGTTCAGGCGAGCGTGAGGACAGATAGAAATATAAAAGAAGAAGAGGAAAGTAGAAGAATAATAAGAAGAGAAGAAGAAGAGAAGAAGAAGAGGAAGAGAAGAAGAACGGAAAAATGGAAAATTCCAAATCTATCAATTTTAATTTACAAACACTTTATGAAAATTAATTGTTTTAAGTGCTCATGTAGGGTAGCTCATGTGCTTTCCTTTCCATGGATAATCAACCCCAGAGATAAAAAAAAGTTCAGGCGCGCGCGGGGATAGCAACATCGCTTGATGTTGCTATCTCAACATAGCGTTTCGAGGTGATAATGAAGTTCGGCCTCAGCGCTCGCCGCCCAATTTGAATTTTGTATAGGGCGACGATAATCAACTCTAAACACTGAAGGGGGGGTCCCTTTATTATCATCGGCATGCGGTTAGCAAAAACGGCCTCGTCGATGTTGGAAAGGCGGTGTTGGTTTTCTCTACTAAATTCGAGCTGGGCGAGCTACGGAGCTGGGAATGACTACGAGCGCTAGTCTGCAGTATCGAGACGTCTGAGATCGGTCTCGTGCTGCGCAAACAGCTACCCAGCTCGCATGCTCTACACGTGACGAGAGCTTCTTAAGCTTCGGAGATTTGGGAAACATCTGTTTAGCTTACTGGGAGCCGGCGTACACCGTCAACCAGGCCACCAGGGCCCCCTTCGCTGCGCGTCCCCCCCCTTGGCTCGGGCGGGTGGTAAGGGGGGGTGGCCTGGGTGCGTATGGGGGCGAAGACGAAGGGCCTGAAAGGGGGCCCCTGAGGGCCCCTTGTGGAGCCAGCAGGGGCCCAAGAGCGGATCCCCAGAGGGCCCCCTTAGGGCCCTCTTCTTCGCCCCCCATGCGGGTCCCCCCCATTGCCATCAGGTCGGGCGTGTCCCCCTACAGGCGGATTTTGGACGAAAAATGAAAAATACCCCCAAAATGCTCAAATCTACTTTACAACTTAACAAAAACGTCCCCCGATGTTTTTCGACTTTTTTGGAATATTCCCCCTGTAGAGGGACAGGCACGACTTAACATTGCCACCCGCCCGATTAGCCCGAAGCTCCCTGGGCGGCCGTGCCCGACGACAACCGGGGGGGCTCTCCCGAGAGCGCTCCGGGGCGCCCAAGACGCCCCAGGGGAGGGCCACCAGTGCGTGCCAGATTGCCCAACGTTGCCTCACTCGTCCCCCTGGCAGGCTGCAATAGTGCCCTAAGAAATTCCGAGGAGGCCAAAGCGGCCTTCCATAACAGTCCAAGTTGTTGCACAACCTCCAATATATGTTCACAGTTTGAATGTTGTGCGTGCCCCGACCCTCTCAGATCAAGACGCTTCCAAGAAGGGCCTCCAAGTAGCCAGAAGGAAACCAAACGAGCACAAAGACGGCCATCACAACCCAGACCGCGGAGGACAATTCCATGAGGGCCCCCAAACGGGCCAAGAAGGCACAGGGCAGCCCAAAAGAGCCCGAAGATGGCCCGAGAGGCCCCCCAAGAACCCCCAAGCCAGTCCTCAGAGACTTCCCAGACGGCCGAGAAATGTCCAAGACGGCACCGAGACGGTGCAAGAGGGTTTAGCCCCTAGGGGGCCCAAAGATGGTCCCACGGCGGCCCAGGAACCCAAGACGCCCCAAGACGGCCCATGAAGGCCCCATGAGAGCTCCTCAAGGAACAGAGACAAGAGGTACGCTAAAGCCGTCTGGGCGTTGCCACACAGGAGTGCTGCGCTGGCATGTTGGCAGAACTTGCCGCAGGCAGCTGGATATGATGACGGGGACGGCAGAACCTTAGCGTCGATGTCGTAGGTTGCTGCTTGAAGCAAGCCGTCTTCCTCATCCATACCACCATCCAACAAGCTTGTACCATTATCTGAACTACCAGAACACACCAATTTCCAGGGCCACAACGCCATAGCAACTGCCTTGTTCAGAATGCTGACACGCATCATGGCAGATTCACAGAATGGCGGTGCCTTGAGCCAAGGTGCAGACGCACCCCCAGGCGGAGGAGCAGGAGGAGCCATAGCAGCAGCAGCAGCAGCAGCAGCAGCAGCAGCAGCAGCAGCAGAGCATCAGCAAGACAACTGGGAGCAGGAGAACTAGTGAGGACTGGAGAGGAAGGATCCACAGGGGGAGCAGGTGGAGAAGCACCAGCAGTAGCCGCAGTAGCAGCGGGCAGGAATGCAATGCCAGTGCCGCTCCCTTCATCTTCTCCTTTGCTCTGGCCGCGCGCGTCGCGCGTGACGGCGTCGTGTCCCTACTGACAGAATGGAGCAGCCGCAAGACCTCCGACCCCCCCACCTGAAAAAAACACCCGGAGCATCAAGAGAATCCGAGAATCTCATCCTCGACCCACCCTCCAAGACCCCCTCGAAAGCCGCCCCGACGGCCCCCGAAAGCGGCCGAAGACCTCCTCCTCGACGCCGCCGTGGGCCCGGGAACGGATGAGGAGGAGGAGGAGGAGGAGGAAGACGAGGAGGAGGAGGAGGAGGAGGAGAAAGAGGAGGAGGACGAGGAGGAGAAGCGGGAACGCAGTCCTCACGCGGGAGGGCACCCACCCCAGACGAAAAACCGCCCCGACGGCACCCGACGGCACCCCGAAGGCCGCCCCCTCAGACGCCGCCCCCCTCCGGCCCCAGCGGCAACACGCGCCGCGGGCCGAGCGCCCCGCCCGGCCAACGCTTCTGCGGACGAGTGCGGACGAGGCGCGCGCCGACGTTCGGCAGCCGACGAGGACGACTCCTCGCGGCGACGACCACCGCAGGCGGCGACATCCCGCGGACGCTGTCCAGTCGGCGCCCACCTCCTCCTCCTCCTCCTCCTCCTCCTCCTCCTCCTCCTCCTCCTCGTCCTCCTCGTCCTCCTCCCCCTCCTTCTCCTCCTCCTCCTCCTCCTCCCTCCTGTCCTCCTCCCCCTCATCCGCCCTCCTCCTCCTCCCTCCTCCCCTCCTCCTCCTCCTCTTCCTCCTCCCCCCCCCCTTCTCCTCCTCCTCCTCCTCCTCCTCTTCTCCTCCTCCTCCTCCTCCTCCTCCTCCTCCTCCTCCTCCTCCTCCGCCTCCTCCTCCTCCTCTCCTCCTCCTCCTCCTCCTCTCCTCCTCCTCCCCTCCTCCTCCTCCTCCTCCTCCTCCTCCTCCTCCTCCCCTCTCTCTTCCTCCTCCTTCCTCTTCTCTCCTCATCCTCCTCCTCCGCCTCCTCCTCCTCCTCCTCCATCCTCCTCCTCCCCCATTCCTTCTCCTTAAAAATTCGCCGGCCCAACGGGCCAGAGGCGTGCTAAGATCTTCAGTAACTGGTTAACAATATTTCTAGTTCGCGCGCGCGCGGAGCGGCCCCTGGGGCCCCCGGACGAAAACTATCCCGGCAAGGTCCCGGGAAAAGCCACCAGAGCACTCCAGGGGAGGGCCATTTTTCGACACCCCTCACGAGGATGATCGTGGCCTCCGAGGGGGGAGCCGCAATCGACTATCCCCCCTCCTGCCCCAAAAGACCCCCAAAAGCCCCCCAGGAGGCCCTGGGGGCCCCCCAAGACGCCGCCAAGGAGCCCCAAGAGACTCCCAAGAGGTCCCCAAGAGGCCCCCAAGAGGCCATGAAGAGGGTTCCAGGGCTGGTGGAATGAACGAAGCGATTCATAACTTTTCCCTGTCGCACCCCGAGGCCAATTTTCAGGGCTGGCCCGGCGTTTCGCCTGAGACTTCCTCACCATTTACGACCCTGGATATTAAACATTGGCAACAGCTTCGCAGATGGAGGGCGGGTGGTTTTCAACATGTGGCCCTCGCTTTAGCACCTCGCACATTCGTTTGAAATTACCGTGGCGACGTACCCAACCCCTGCGCAATGCGGGGCAGGAGTAGCTTGGGAGATTTGACGAGAAGTCGGCGACGTTACATTCACGCATATACTTCTGCGAGAGGCATCCGGAAGGTTCGCAGGCCCCCAATCAAGGGAAACACGATGAGTAAGTGGATCATGATCCCTGAGTCACTAAACCAACAACATGACATGGCCCAAGGACGGCGAGACACCGCTCAAGTCTGCGCAGTGCCTCACTCCGTTGGACTCACCAGCAGCCTTCGAAGGTGGCGAGCCCACCAGCAGCCCTCGAAAGTAGCGACAATTTCGCAGATCTCAACCCCCCATGGACGGGGAGGTCCCGCTCAGGTCCGCGCGGTGCCTCACTCCGCTGGGCCCACCAGCAGCCCTTGAAACTGGCGACAGTTTCGCAGATCCCAGCCCCCCAGGGACGAGAAAGTCCCGCTCAAGTCAGCGCGGTGCCTCACTCCGCTGGACCCACCAGCAGCCCTCGAATCTGTCGACAACTTCGCTGATCGCAGCCCCCCAAGAACGAGGAGGTCCCGCTCAAGTCCGCGCGGTGCCTCACTCCGCTGGGCCCGCCAGCAGCCCTCGAAAGTAGCGACAATTTTGCAGATCGCAGCCCCCATGGACGGGGAGGTCCCGCTCAGGTCCGCGCGTTCCGCTGGACCCTAGCAGCCCTCGAAAGTGGCGACAATTTCGCAGATCTCAGCCCCCCATGGACGGGGAGGTCCCGCTCAGGTCCGCGCAGTGCCTCACTCCGCTGGACCCACCAGCAGCCCTCAAAAATGGCGGCGGTTTCGCCGCATACCGCAGCCCCCCAGGGTCGGGGAGGTCCCGCCCAGGTCCGCGCGGTGCATCACTCCGCTGGACCCACCAGCAGCCCTCGAAACTTGCGACAATTTCGCAGACCGCAGCCCCCCAAGAACGAGGAGGTCCCGCTCAAGTCCGCGCGGTGCACTCCGCTGGGCCCGCCAGCAGACCTCGAAAGTAGCGACAATTTTGCAGATCGCAGCCCCCATGGACGGGGAGGTCCCGCTCAGGTTTCGCGTGTTCCGCTGGACCCTAGCAGCCCTCGAAAGTGGCAGCAATTTCGCAGATCCACCCCCCGCGGGGCGGGGGGTCCCGCTCAGGTCCGCATGGTGTGTCACCCCGCTGGGCCCACCAGCAACCCTCGAACATGATCGACCCACGAACCCGGAAAGGAATATAGAAATGTAAGGCATTGCAGCATTTCAAAGACACCTGATTGGGCGACGGGCACATGCAATGCTGAATGTATCGATGATGATGTACTGTGCCGAGGGCTGTGCTGTGCTACGCCGTGCTGAACTGCGATGTGCCATGCCGCGATTGTGCTCTATATAGCGTTGTGGATCGAGTCCTCCCTGGCATCCGAATCCTCACCGAACTGATCTGGAGCGTAAGCTCCAGCTGCCTGAACAGATGGTAGCTGCCCCAGAACTAATCGACAGAGGGAACATGCCAGGAGGACGCGCCGCGGAACGTCCCAAGGGACGCGCCAGGCGACGTGCCAGGGGACGTGCCATGGGGACGCACCGCGGGACGTGCCAAGGGGACGCGCTACGGAACGTGCCAATGGACGTGCCGAGGGACGTGCCAGGGGACGCGCCGCGCGACGTGCCAGGTGGACTCGCCACGGAACGCGCCAAGGTGCATAGTTGAGTGTATCGATCTTGATGTACCGTGCCGACGGCTGTGCTGTGCTGGGCCGTGCTGAACTGCGATGTGCCATGCCGCAATTGTGCTCCATATAGCCTTGTAAATCGAGTCCTCCCTGGCATCCGAGTCCTCACTGAACTGATCTGGATCGTAAGCTCCAGCTGCCTGAACAGATGGTAGCTGCCCCAGAACTACACAGAGGGAACATGCCAGGAGGACGCGCCGCGGAACGTCCCAAGGGACGCGCCAGGCGACGTGCCAGGGGACGTGCCATGGGGACGCACCGCGGGACGTGCCAAGGGGACGCGCTACGAAACGTGCCAATGGACGTGCACCGCGCGACGTGCCAGGGGGACTCGCCACGGGACGCTCCGCGGAACGTGCCAGGCAACATGCCAGGCTGCAATGCTAAGGGTATCGATATTGATGTACCGTGCCGAGGGCTGTGCTGTGCCTGGGCGACCTGGACACGTGAAAACACGCGTTTCGCTCAAGACGTTGTCAGCACATCCTCATGCTAGACATCCGCCTGGGCAACCTGGACACGTGCAAACAAGCGTCTCGCTCGAGACATCCTCAACAAATGCTCATGCTAGACATCCGCCTGGGCGACCTGGACACGTGAAAACAAGCCTCTGGTTCGAGACATCCTCAACAAATCCTCATGCTAGACATCTGTCTGGGCCACCTGGAGGCGTGAAACCAAGCGTCTCGCTCGAGACATCCTCAAGACCTGGGCACGTGAAAACAAGCAATCCACTTGAGAGATCCTCAGAAATCATGTCCCCAGGAAAAGACAATCTATAACACAAAACAAGGGTTTCGCTCGAGACATCCTCAACAAATTATGAAAAAAACAAGCGTTTCGCTCGAGACATCCTCGAATTTTAATTCGCCGGCCCTACGCAACCTCGTTATTCATCGCAAAAGAAATTCGCCGGCCCTACAGCCGTCAAAACCGGGGGTAAACAAAACTAAAAGAGAACCCTGGGCCTATGCCCTTTCCGGGAAAAAGGCAACACTTTCGCAGATCGCACCCCCCCCAAGGACGGGGAGGTCCCGCTCAGGTCCGCGCGGTGCCTCACTCAGCTGGACCCACCAACAGCCCTCGAAAACGGCGACGCTACCGCAGATCGCAGCCCCCATGGACGGGGAGGTCCCGCTCAAGTCCGCGCGGTGCCTCACTCCACTGGACCCACCAGCACCGCTCGAAACCGACTGGCGACAATTTCGCAGATCGCAGCACCCTCTAAGATTGGGAGGTCCCGCTCAAGTCCGCGCGGTGCCTCACTCCGCTGGACCCACCAGCCGCCCTCAAAAATGGCGGCGATTTCGCCGCATACCGCAGCCCCCCAGGGTCGGGGAGGTCCCGCCCAGGTCCGCGCGGTGCATCACTCCGCTGGACCCACCAGCAGCCCTCGAAACTTGCGACAACTTCGCTAATCGCAGCCCCCCAA